CGAACAGGGCTGAGTCCATGGCGAACAGGGTCAGCAGCAGCGCGGGGACCAAGAGCCGCAGCCAAGGCAGCATGGTGCGGGGAGCTGCAGGGCGGAGAGTGAGAAGGAGCCAGTGTGAGGGACTGTGTTGGCCCGGACCCCCAAATCCTTCCAGGGCCCTGGGTTCAGGGGGCCGAAACTCTGAGAGCACAGTCCAGGTTCATGAGCTCCTCGTGCTGCTCCTCATAGAATGACCCAAAGGTCCCCGTGGCCCTGTCCAGCTGGTGCCAGCAGCCAGCGGGGTGGGAGGAGACAGAGGCACCCACTCCCTGAGCTCAGTGCCATCTCCCCTTGGGGTGGCACAGCTCAAGGAGCCAGACCACCTCGGCCACTGGCCGTCCCTCTGCGTCCTGGTCCAGACCAGCAGGGCTCGTCTCTCACTGACCTGCTCCCCCCATGGCCCTGGCCTGCTGTGGCCTTGGCCGCTGTGGATGGCAGATGTCATTTTGACCTGCAGCCTTTTTGAACAGCCTGGCGCCCACCATGACTAGATGGCCTGTGCTGAACTTTGCGAGGATTCCAGATTGTTCCATCACAGACACTGTGGACACCAGCCCTCCAGATGCAATTCCCACTGGGCTGAAGAGAGTCGACACCCAGACCCCACCCCTGAACCCAGTACTCTGAAAGCAGCCTGGACGCCCAGACCCCCACTGTCCAGCCTTTGGGCCCAGCCTAGACACCCAGAATCCTTCATCCAGCCTTTGGGCTCAACCTGACACCCAGACCCCCACTGTCCAGCCCTCCGGCCCGACAGGCCCAGCACTAGATGCCCGCAGTGACTCAGGACTGAGGCTGGGGCACACTTGACTGGAGGGGGTGCTGGGGGCTGTGTCTCCCTCTCCTGCTGTGCCCGCTGGGACCTGGGGCCCGGCCCTCTGCACACTCACCCTTTTGCACCAGGATGAGAACGGGCTCCGACACCTTCTCCACCTTGCGGACCCGACCCTCGCAATGGTAGCTGCCGTTGTCGTTCAGGGTGACTCTGTCCAGGGAGATGTTGTGGTTCTCGTACCAGTACTTGAGGGACACGTTGTCCTTATAGAAGGTGACCTTGTCCACTCTCCAGTTCTGCCAGCTGTGGCACTGCAGGAGGAGGGAGTCGCCCTCCGTCAGGTCCTCGGCGGTGGCCTGGAGCAGCAGCCAGTCTGTGGGTCCCCGAGGCCGACAGAGAGACAGAGGGAGGCAGAGAGCTGTGTCACCAGCCGAAACCAGAAAGAAGGAAACTGAGGCCCGTCTTCTCTGCGCTGAAACCCTCCCTCCCTGGGGAGGTCACTGGGGCCAGCGGTGCCCGAGCTTCCAGCCCAGGATGTCCAGAAGAGACCCCGTCCCCAGGGTAGAAGCACGCGCTGGCATCAGGGGGCTGTGTCTAGAATGGACTCTGCCTTGCTCTAGAATTAGCAGGTCAGAGTGTGCGCGTGGGGCGAAGCTCCTTCTCACTGGGATAAAAACAGGAAACTTGCTCGAGCCTTCCCAAGGCTTTGTTCAGGGTTGATAAAGACATGACATAGCCACCCCGGGAAGAGCCGAGTCTCTTTGGCTCTGCGTTTGAGAAGGAGGCTGAGTTTGAAAAAATTTATTAGTGGGGCTGGAGCGATAGCACAGCGGGTAGGGTGTTTGCCTTGCACGCATTCAACCTGGGTTCAATTCCAGGCATCCCATACGGTCCCTTGAGCACTTTGGAAGTGACCCAAAAGCAATATAAACGTATAGATATATATGGATATATATTATTAGTAGCTTGCCCGCCTGGCAAAGCCTGGCAAGCTACCCGTGACATATTTGATATCCAAACAGAGTAACAAGTCTCACAATGTTACTGGGCCCGCTCAAGCAAATTGATGAACAACGGGAGAAAAGTGACAGTGACAGGAACATTTTGTCGTGTTTTGGCTTGGGTCCACACTCAGTGGTGCTGGGAGCAGACCATGTTTCCAACTCGGGTCAGACTCATGCAAGTCATGTGCCTGCACCCATGTCTGGCATCTCCAGCTCGAAAGAGACACGAGGGTCGTATCAGAAGTGCCCTCTGCACGCATGCATAGAAGAAGGGGCGGGAAACCTGCAGATAGGTGGGTGGAGGCTGGCAGCAGGTAGGGCGGAGTCTTTGCCTCCCTGAGCACATGGGGATAGCCAGTTGCCCATGGACGCTTTGTGGGTCCGAGCCCAGACTCACCGCTGAAGACTCCCAGGCGCACGGGGTCACTGGGCTCTGAGTCCTCACCCTGACACCTGTACTCGCCACTGTCCAGCTCTCTGGCACTCGTGATGTTCAGACTGGACGTGCTTTCGTTCAGTGGGTGGCTGTTGTGTGTCCAGTTGGTGGTGCCGGCCATCAGGGAACCGTTCTCGTGTTGACAGGTGAGGATCACGTTCTCGCCCCGGAATATTCTGCTCCAGGGGCTCAGGGAGACGCTCGGTTTCGGGGTGACTTGCAGTCGATTTGATCGTGGAGAGAAACAGACAAGGCAGAGTGAGAAACTTTGTCCACGTTCCCTGGCGTGCACTGCCCTGGCCAGGGACATACCCTCAGAGAGAAGGTGGCAGGACCTTTCCATGGCCAGGAGCTGCCACAGAGGTGGTCAGGTAGCTGAGCGTGAGAACCGGGGGACGATTGGGAATGGCCATGGGCGGTGTCTGGGCTCCCGGCCGTCCCCTGCTCAGCACCCAGGGGCTGCCAAGGTCTCCCAGGAGAGGGAGGAAGGTGCAGGAGAGGGTGGGGTGGCCCAGCTCTACACTGTCACGGCTCATACTGGCGAGTGACGGGTTTGTCCTGGGGGAAGAGACCCCAGAGGCGGGCAACAGGACACCCCAGTCCAGGCCACGGTGACTGAGCCCTCCGACCGGGCTGGGCCAGCACCGTCCACGGGACAGAAGTGATAGGGAAGGGTGAGGACTCGCAGGCAGAGATGCTTCGCATCCAGCAGACGTGGCGGGTGGAGGGATGGAGGGTGCGAGACGCTTGTGTGTGTGTGGGGGGGTGAGGACAGGAGCAGGTCACTGCCCTGGGCCACGGGGGCAGAAGGGAAACAGGGGCAGACACACTGCCGGGCTGGAGAGTCACCTGCTGCCACGCTTCCAACACCTGCAAAATGAAGAGAAGGGGTCAGTGTGTCCACCCGCTGGGCCCTGGGAGGCAGGCGACGCGCCTGGGAGCTGCAGCCTCTCCCCTCGCCGCGCCTCCCTGCCCTGAGCACAGTCCTCCAGGACCTGCTCCCCACACTCCCAGGTGCCTGGCAAAGTCGCCACTGAACGGCCCTCTCAGCCCCGAGCCCTTGGGGGAAGGTGCCCACAACTCACAGAGGAGCAGCAGTGCCCGGACGAGCAGATTGTGTGTGTCCATGGCCGGAGCTGCTGCCTCGAGCCACTGCCCCCCACGTCCACGCCGAAGGCAATGAGGCGCAGAGAGAAGGAAGCTCAGCCTTTATCTGGGGAATCAAGACTGAGCCTCTGATAAGGGCGGAGCCTCTCGGTGGCTTGTCCCCCTAGGCCAACCCCCTGATCTCTCCAGGGCCCCGCCTGGCCTCTTGTCCACCAGGAGCTGACTCTTTCTGTGGGGGCAGCCCCTTCGCAGGCAGCTTGTGTGGAGCCTACGAGAGGAGGGGCAGAGGCGGTGCCCTGTTCCCTCCTCCATCCTGGGACCTGCTTCAGGGCCGTGCTGCGATGGCTGGGAGTCAGGCCCCCAGACCGCTGGGTGGTACTTTTGGGGGGCATCTGACTGGAGCAGTCCAGCCTCTGCTCCCGAGGGGACCAGCTTGTCGGGGGAGTCTAGGCTGGGGTGCTCTTCCAGGAACAGGCTGTGGGCTGATGAAGCCTTGGCCACGACACGAGATGTCACGAGGGCTAGCGAGCTTCCCGCCCCTGCGACCACACGGCCAGTATTGACTTCTGGCTTTGGGGTGACACTTACCAGTGCTCAGCATTGCTGCTGGCTCAGTGCTCTTGCAGAAGGACCCCAGACCAAGCCGGGCCAGGATTGAGCCTGAGATTCCCACGTGTTCACCCTTCCTTCTTTTTGATTTTTAAATTTTTATTTATTTATTTTTGAGGGGTTCACACCTAGCGGTGCTCAGGTGTGATTTCTGGCTCTGCACTCAGGAATATCCTCTGGCGGTGCTCATGGGAACATATGGGATGCTGGGAATCGAACCCGGGTTGGCCAAATGCCCTACTCCCTGTGCTATCACTCCAACCCCCTTTTGAATTTTTTATTTCATTTGGTTTTGTGAGAAACCACACGCATGAAGGTACTGGCAGAGGAACAAAGGCATGTGGGTCCCGGGGCTGAGATCTCCAAGCCTGCCTGGATCGGGGCTGAGCATCCTCCACCCAGATCCTCCAAATTCCAGTAGGCAGGGGTCACACCCACAAACTGGCCCCCTGGCGCCGCCGTGTAATCCCATCAACGGCCAAGACGCAGAGACTATAAAACCCAGCTCCCGGAAGACATCTTATTATCTCATTCCTACTTTGGACAAACTGGCAGGCTACTGATTGTAACCTGCCCACATGGCAGAGTCTGGCAAACTTCCTGTGGCATACCCAATATGCCAAATACCAGTAACAATGAAGGGTCTCATTCTCCTAACCCTGAAAGAGCCTTGAATATGGCACTTTTTAAAAAAATCTCAGGGCTAGGATGAAGGAGACGTTACTGGGGCCTGCTCGAGGCAATCGACGAATAACAGGATGGTCGTGATCGTGATCGTGGTTTTGTGCTCAGGGATTACTCCTGCCTCTGCGCTCAGTAATTGCTCCTGGCAGTCCTCTGGAGACCAAAAGGGATCCTAAGAATTAAACCCAGCTCGGCCACCTGCAGGGCAAGTGCCCTCCCTGCTGTCCTGTTCCAGAGGCCCCTGCCCTACACCTTTACAAAGCACTGTCGGTGCCAAGTTAGCAGACACGGAAAGCAGGTAGGAAGATGCGTTTAATTTGGAAGAGGGGGGTGGGGTGGTTGGGGTCTAACGCCAAAGCTTGGGCTTGATCACCACGTAGCCAGAGGACTGGAAGGTGAGCGAGTGCCAGTCGAGAAGGTTGCCGTTTTGCCAGCTGAGCCCCATGTGCTCCACGGGGATAATCCTGTCCCAGAGGTGGACATCCCACACCTCCCCCACCAGGGACTGATTCGCATCGAAGCCGCCCCCGAATGAGTCCTGCTCCTGCCCCAGGATGATCTTGGCGTCGGCGCCCACGACATAGCCTCGGTGAACGCCTTTCCTCCCCTGGGGCCTCCCGTCCACCCAGAGGGTGGCGATGCCCGTGGCGGATTCCCAGCTGACACACACGTGGGTGGGGCCCTTCGAGGACCGGGGAGCACTGAAGAAGATCTCGGAGTTGCCGATGGTCAGGGAGTAATCGCCTGACTTCATCATGAACAGCAGCAGCGCGTTGCTATGGGATCTGGTTGCGTAAGAGAGGAGGCTGTAGTCACGCTTGAGGTCGGTGGAGGCCTTCATGCAGAGTGTGAAGTTGTATAGCGGCTTCTGCTGTTGTGGCGTCAGCACCACGTAGTCGGTGGTCGACTCCCGGGGGAAGATGAGCGCCTGTGTCCTCAGGTCTGCAGGAGACAAGCAGAGGTTCCCTGTAGCACCCCCAAGCCCCAGCCTGGACCCTACACCCTCTTCTCCCAGCAATCTCTCTGGACTCTCTTACTAAGTGCCCCATCCAACCCTGGAATCGCTGACCGTGGGGGCCTCCTCTGAGGGCCATGAGAGAAGAGGCTGCGTATGAAAGATCTGGGGGAAAATCTTCCCTAGGAATGTGGGTGCTCCCCGTCCTGACTTGAGAGAGTGTTCCCCGTTGGGTGAGTGCTCTCCAGGAGGGCGAGTGCTCCTGGTTCTGACTCGAGAGTGTGCTCACTGAGAGGGTAAGTGCTCCCCAGGAGGATGAGTGCTCCTGGCTCTAACCCAGCGGGTGTGAGGGACAGTCGCAGTTGTCGTGTTAGCTGGTCAGTCAAAGGTGAGCTTGTGGGGTCTCACTGCCTCCAGCAGCAGCAGCACAACCCAGCACCACCCCTCCCTAACTCAGCACCCACTTGAAGTCGCCGAGTCCACGGACAGCAGGGGCAGCAGCAGGGTGGTCAGCAGCAGCCTCTCCATGGTGGCCTGCTCCGTCCTGGTCAGCCGCAGAGGGACAGTGTTGCTGTGGGCCAGTGTGGCCGTGGCTGCCCGGGGCTGCTTATATCGCCCCCCCGGGCACAGCTGGCAGAGCCGGAGAGGGTGAACATTAACAGGACCAGATGCGGCTCGAGGCAGGCGTGTTTGCGCTGGGGCTGCGGTCTCGTCTCTGATGCCACTTTGCGTCTGCCAGGTGACCCGCAGGTAAGGAGGGGAGGGGCGCTGCGGGTCCCGCTGGCCAAGGGAAGCAACCAGGGGAGAGTGGTGGGAGACGGGGGCGCTGGCAGTGGCCGGGGGCCTTGCTGGGGTGTGTGTGTGAGCAGTCCCCTTGTCGTCGGGGTCTGGGGGCAGCACAGGCTTTGGGAGGGAGCCAGGCGGTAGCTGTCTGTCCACACCCACCAACCCCCGACTGTTTCTGGGCTCACCGCGCCTATATGCAACTCTCTCATCTGAAGTCCCCGACTGACCTCAGATGTGGGCGTGCCCTAGTTTCACCTGCAGGCTGGATCACAGGGACCCACTTTGGGTGACCCCAACTCTTTAAAAATTAAAAAAATAGGGGCTGGAGCGATAGCACAATAGGTAGGGCGTTTTCTTTCCACGTGGCCGAGCCAGGTTCGATTCCCAGCATCCCTGAGCACTGTCAGGGATAGTTCCTGAGTGCAAGAGCCAGGAGTAACCCCTGTGCAATGCCAGGTGTGACCCAAAAAGCAAAGAATAAATAAATAAATTTGGGGTCATACCTGGCAATGCTCAGGGCTGACTCCTGGCTCTGCACTCAGGAATCACTCCTGGTGGTACTTGGGGGACCCTATGGGATGCTGGGGATCCAACCTGGGTCAGCTGTGTGCCAGGCCAATGCTGTCCCCACTGGACTGTCCTCCTCCCAGGAACTATCCAGGGTATCTTAGCATTCACAGCCTGGGACCACTGAGGCACGGCTCCACTTATCTGTCCCCCAAAGAAGCCGGTGGAGGACTTTTTTTTGCTTTTTTGGGGGGAGTCACACCTGCAGTTGCACAGGGGTTACTCCTGGCTCATTCACTCAGGGATTACTCCTGGCTGTGCTCGGGGGACCCTGTGGAATGCTGGAAATCGAACCCGGGTCTTCCGTGTGCAAGGCAAATGCCAACCTGCTGTGCTATTGCTCCAGTCTCCAGTGGAGGACATTCAAGATCTTTCTCCATCTGTGTGACATCACATTTGTCTCCTGAATCTCCCTCCTCTCACTCTTAAGTGGCTTATAAAATCAGGAACTTTATTTTATTTTATTTTATTTTATTTTTTGTTAGTGAAACCCCATGGGGTACAGTTGTAGATTTACAAATTTTTGTGCTTGGGTTTCGATTATACAATGATCAAATACCCATCCCTCCACCAGTGCCCATTTTCCACCACTATACATCCCAGTATCCCTCCCACACCCATCGCCCCATCCCCCCCCACCTCTGTGGCAGGGCATTCCCTTTTGTTCTCTCTCTCCTTTTGGGTCAGGAACTTTCTTTACATTTCTTCACACCATTTTTTTCTCAGCATATGCATGCCTACTATTAAATGAATAAGTTATTGCCCGCCCCACCGAGACCACGAGTTGCCCCACATCAGTGGCTCTCCGGCACGGCCATGGACCCAGAGGCACACAAACCAAACTCAGAACTATGTGGCTTTTGGCAGAAATCCCTCCAGACTCAATTAGTAAAATATCAGAAACCCAAAATTGCACAGCCGCTATCTCGGCCGTGCGACATCATATGGTCTTCATAACCAGCAATAGAAAACAAATTATTTCACGATGCCTTTTCAGCAGGTCTGATTGTTGGGGGGAAAATTCCAAATAACAATGGTGCATCTTTTCTCCAAATAATGAATGTAATGAAAATAGAGAATTACGTGGAAATCATCTGCCTCATAGGTATTGAGAGGGGTGGGATGAGGGGGAATTTGGGGTACTTGGTGGCCGAAAATATGCACCGGTGAAGAGATGGGTGTTTGATCATTGTATGACCGAGATTTAAACCTGAAAGCTTTGTAACTGCTCACGGCGATTCAATAAATAAATTAGAAATAATAAATGAATAAGTTATTTCCCATAAAATGTTCTACTTTAGGCCACTATATCACGACTGAATATACTGGGAATAACGTCAGTCAAGTCTTTCATACTTGATGTATGCTTGAAAAGACAGCTTGATTTAAATCCATTTAACAAGTGTGCCCTGTTACTGAGTCCGTTTTAAATTCATAATTAAAAGCCACGTTTATAAACCGTGTTTTATTGGAGATTGGGAAGCAAATGCATTAAGCACCAAACTCCAGCGGTGTTTTTTCTTTTTCTTTGCCAGATCAGAAACAAAATACAGTTTTGCTCCCCTTTAAGCTTTAACCTGGAGTGACCCTTGGATACCCCTGAAAAAAACAAACAAGTGAAGGCAATAACCTCCGAGCCTGATCTGATAAGATTCACCTGTCAGAACTCCCTGACGCTTCCAGCCTAAGAACCCAGCCTCTTCAAAGCCCTGCGCTCACTTTAGTGCTCAGGTAACACAGAGGATCATACTAACTTCATCACCAACACCTCCTTATCAAGGCAAACAAGCAGAGGGAACACCCAGGAAAATAGCCCCAGCACTTGTTCAACAATTTGCTTGAGCAGGCACCAGTAACGTCTTGTCAACTTGTGACTGTGTTTGGCATATCGAATACGCCAAGGGGAGCTTGCCAGGCTCTGCCATGCGGGCGGGAAACTCTCGGTAGCTTGGCGGGCTCTCCAAGAGGGGCAGAGGAATCGAATCTGGGTTGGCTGCATGCAAGGTAAGTGCCCTATCCGTTGTGTTATCACTCCGGCCTTCTTTTAAATTAGGAAGAAATATTATGAGAAATATTTTCTAAAAAATATTTGAGCTTTGCTGTGTGGGCAAGATACTGTCAATAGCTTGCTGGGCTGTACAAGGAGGGCAGAGGAATCCAACCCAGGTCGACTGCGTGCAAGCACTAACATTTCACTTGATCACTTGACATCCCGTTACTCATAGATTTACTCAAGTGGGCACCAGTAACGTCTCCATTTGTCCCTGTCGCATGGTAGTGTAGCCCAATGGCGTTTGCTCGTTATAAGAACACAAACAGCCTCAAACCGATCATTCAGGGTCTTGACAAAGAAGTCTGACCATCTCATAGGTTGGTGGCCACGTGATCTTTTGATATCCCATGGAATCCTGTCAGTAATGGCTCTAGTCCAGCAGTTGTCTCCAAATCACATTATGTGTCCAGCCTGTCTGATTTTCGACGCCTTGGCAAATGAGACAGTGTCCCTGACTCTTGATCGTTGATGGAGGTTGGAACTCTGGATTCTTTCTCTCCTTTGAGTGAAGCATGATACTCCAAGCATAGCTCTTTCGATTTCTCTTTGGGAGATCCGAATAGTGTTCTCATCCTGTTTTCGTAGGACCCAGGCCTCTGAGGCATATGTTCATGCAGGAAGAACAGTGGAATTGAAGAGATGTGCCCGGAGCTGAGGTTCTTCGTTCTCTTAGCTATTTCTTCGACGCTCTTGAAGGCATTCCAAGCTGCTCTCTTCCTTTTGTGCAACTCAGGTGCCAGGTCATTCATCATGTTGACTTCTCGACCTAGGTACACCTGTTGCATTCGGAGATATTCGTCCCATTGAGAACGAATGGAACGTCAGGAACGAGAGCGTTTCTTATAAACATTGTCTTTGTGAGATTCAGCTGTAGTCCAACCTTTCCACATTCACAGTCAAAGTAGGCCAGCATTTGTGCTGCTTAGCTGATGATTGCTATTATTAGAATGATGTCATCAGCGAAGCGGAGGTGGTGTATTTGCCGACCATCTATCTTCACTCCCATTCCTTCCCATTCCAGAAGTCCCATGATGTTCTCGAGGGTGGCACTGAAGAGATTCAGTGAAATGTTATCACCCTGCTGAACCCCTCTCTTGACATCAATAATCACCTCTGTGTAGAATGGTGAGATCCTGGTAGTGAATCTGCAATACAGCTCATGAGGATCCTGATGTATTGAGTTTGAACGCCCTGTTTGGCTAGGGCTTCGATGACCGCTTCAGTCTCAACAGAATCAAAGGCCTTCTTTAAATCAATGAACGTTAGACAGAGCGGCATCCTGAACTCCTGAAAAACCTCAATGAGATTGGTTATCGTGTGGATATGGTTGATTGTGCTGAATCCTTTTCGGAACTCAGCTTGCTTGCATGGTTATCCTGCATCTAGTGTTCTGCCAATCCTATTCAGGATGACTCGAGTGAACAGTTTGTAGACAACAGACAACAGGCAGACTGGGCAATAGTTGCCAGTGTCGTGGATGTCTCCCTGCTTGTACAGTAGTACAGTCCTGCTGGTTTTCCATTGGGATGGAAGCTTGCATTCAGACAGGTAGCGTGTGAAGAGCTGAGCCAGTGTATTGAAGAGTACTGATGGCAGGTTCTTCAGGTGTTCGGGTCTGACCTTGTCTGGGCTTGGTGCTGTTCGCTTCTTTACCGACGAAATGGCATGTTGGATTTCGGAAGGGAGCACATTGGGAATGACATATCCATCCTGCAGAATTTGGCATGTGGGCAGATGGACATGGCTATTGAAGAGAACCGAGTAGAAGTCATGGATAATCTTCTTCATTGCTCTTCTGGAAGATGTGATAGATCCATCAGGACGTCGAAGGGCAGTCATCTTGGTCTTGTAGTTGACGAAGAATAGGCGGGCGTTGCGAATGCTTTTCCCAGCTTCTGCCGCATCTGCCAGCACTGCTGCTCTTCTCTCTTTGAGGTCTTCCTTTATTGCGTCTGTGCACTGCTTTGCGAGCTCGGACATTCGCTTGCGGTTGCCTGAGATTTGCGCCAAGCCACATTGGTGAATGAGCTTGAGAGTTTTCCACAGAGAGTTTTGGTCCTATCTTGGCATTAAACAGGCGTCTTTTTGTGGCTATCTCTCTCTCAGTGTTCTTCACACAGTC